TGCTCCGCAGGGCTCAGCAGGGAGAAGGTCGCAGCCTTCGCCAGGAAACAGCAGCGCGACTCGCTCTTCAGACTTGCCCAGAACGTGACGACCACCAGCGGCTCCCTGCAAGTGTGTCTGGACCGGCAGGTGGTGCAGGACAGGGTGCCCGTCTTCCAGCATGCCCTGCCGGCAGAGGGCAAGCCCGTCACTAACCAGAAAAAGTCAGGTAAAGGGGATTTCCTGCACACTTCACGGAGAGGCTGGTCTTAAAACAAAACCCTTATGTATGGCGGCGGCATAAAAATATGAACCAAGTTAGATTGCAGTGGGTGTCCGGTACTTTGCTTTAAGCTGCCTTCTCATGATAAAATATCACCTGGGGGAATTCTTGCTGTTTGAGTCCATGCTCCGAAATAAACCTCATTTTTTGAGGAATAAGAGTTATTTCGGAAGAAGAGTGTTCTCCCAAAATAACTGCGTCTACACCGCATTTTGTATTTCAAAATAATGCAGTTATGCAAATGAAGCGTGGGATATTTAAATCCCGGCTTCATTTGCAATTTCGAATGTCTTCATTTGCATCCCTCTCTCAAAAGAAGGTGCAAGTGTAGACATACCCTATGAGAGAAATCTTCACCCCGTCCTTTTGATTTTTGGAGTTACGATGATATTCAAGAGCAGTTTGAAATAGCCCTTTTCAGCTTGGCTTTTAATAATTTTTGGTCCTTATCTAGCACTTTGCATCTTTAAAGCACCTTAAAAAATCCTATCAACATTCCCTAAATACTTTGTCTCTTTACAGCAAGGGGAACTGTGAGAGAATTAGTCACTGTCACAGTTCAGGGCAGCTGCACCTGTACTCCTCCTAGGTCAATTTGCTGACATCCATCCTAAGCTCTTGGCTCCTTAGGTGTCAACTCTTGGGCTGAGACGATCCACCATCAAACAAGAGTGCTGGCAGGAGACAGCCCTTCAAATCCACAATGGGGATTTTCTGTGCTTACAAGCTTTGTCTCAGTTCTAGCACTCCTGGGAATAGGTCAGTCTTTCCTTTCTGCAGCTTATGCCAGTGTTTCTCAAAGTGGTCCACAGACCCACTCTGAGAGAGTTGCTAACTGGATGCTCTCATTTGTTTACTTACTGGCTCTGCAGCCAATGGGAGCCACGAGGCTCCGTGGCTGAGGAGCCGGTAAATATACAAACGGGAGCGTCTAGGTTAGCAGCTTTCTCAGAGTGGGTCCGTGGACCACTGAGACACACTGGCTTAGGCCTTTGATCTTCTGGTTCCGAGAACAGGTAGTTGACACACAGTCTACCATAGATGGCAGCATGTGTTTCTGTTGGTGATGCACATCTGGACATGTCTTGGTGCACATAACAAAATTTAGTCTGTACATGGATGAAGAAAACTAGAGGGAACGTTGGTTCTCTCTCAGGGTGTAACTTTAAAAGGCCAGCTCTGTTTAACTGGAAGTGGAAATTTGCAGTCATCTCTTCCAGGAGATTCTCCAGGCAAAGCACTTGGCACTGCTTCTCCAAAAGTCCATCCTTGCCTGCCCTTCGATCATCTAGGCCCACAATAATGCAGAAACTATTCTTGTGATATAAAGGTCACATCTGTGTCAACTCAGTAAGGTTTTGGGCAGTTCAAATGACTCACCGGCAAAGCTGGGGTAGAAGTCAAAACCTGCAACTTAGTTCCTGTCTCTTTGCTTGTTTGGCCACTCAATTGTGGTATGGGTGCATGTTAATTTGGGGGGTTTATTCAAGACTGTAAAAGAGTGAGACTGAACAGCCCCTTATAAATCTAGTGTTTTAATACAACCCGTGTAAACCTTTATAGAGCTGAGCAGTGTAACTCTTGTTCTTTTGCTCTCTTACAGGGAGATGTTGGATATTCTCCTGTCTGAATGTGATGCGTCTGCCTGTCATGAAGAAGTTTAATATTGAAGAGTTTGAGTTCAGCCAAGCATATCTCTTCTTCTGGGACAAGGTACAGCAATGCTGGCCAGACTCTTAAGGGCAGTTTTATCCATTCAGCCCATACTGGCAGTTTGGTTTCCCTCTGTATGGGTATTCAGGCGTTTCTAAGCTATCATAGGGTACGCCTAGATTACATGCCTCTGCCGACAGGCATGTAAAATAGGCTACCCAACATAGTCAATTTTACATGCGTCTGTCCACAGAGGCATGTAATCTAGACATACCCATAGATACACTGAAATTGATCTTTGGAAATGCTTTACAAACATTTTTAGATGAGAGAGCACGTGTTCCTGGATTGAGAAAAACACGTTTTTTTTAAACTTCTGAAGAGTATCTCTTTAAAAAAAAAAAGACCTCTAAATCCTCTCAAGGATCCTTGTAGGAGACCAGACAGGAAAAAACGCTACCGTTTTCCACTAAAGCTGTCTTAGTTCCAGCAGTGTGTCACAGGCACGAGACTGACTGACTTGTTTATTTCCAACAGTGGTTGCTTAAGAGCAGCTAGTACTAGTACCTGAGAGATTTCATCTTGCATTTTCTATCCCCCATATACTAACTTGCTTTCACACTCGTCCCTCCTCACAAACTAAAGGTTTGCAAGAGAACGGGTACTAGAAATGTGCCCACAGAACTATATCAAGAGTAGCAGAGAAGATAAGAACATGTAATAGCTTGCCAGAGCATATTGTGAAGACCAGGACTTTAACAGGGTTCAAAAAAGAACTAAATCCACGGAGGTTAGGTCCATCCAATACTTATTAGCCAGAACAGGCAAGGATGTTGACCCTTGCCTCTGTCAGAGGCTGAGAATGGGTGAGAGGGGAATCGTTCCCTGTTCTGTTCCCTCCCTCTGGGGCACCTGGCATTGGCCTCAGTTGGCAGACAGGATATTGGGCTGGATGAACCTTTGGTCTGACCCAGCCTAGCTGCTCTGATGTTCTTAGTTGTTTTCTCAGCAGTGAGATTTGCAAAGAAGTGCATACGCCCAGGAATGGAGTAACATATGGCATGCTACAAGCCAAGATTAAGTTACCCTATCTGTCGTCTTCCAGATTGAACGTTGCTACTATTTTTTAAATGCCTTTGTGGAAACGGCTCAGAAAAATGAGCCTATAGAAGAGAGGCTGATGCAGTTCCTGCTTTCCAACCCCACCAGTGATGGAGGACAATGGGACATGTTGGTTAATCTTATCGGTAAGAGAAACAGTGACTGAAAGGGCTTCCTGAAATGGTACTCTTGCCTTGAAAGATCAGGAGCAAAGTAATGAATGTTTACATCTGTATTGTACGAACATCAATTGTACAGCGCTGCACACTGTAGAAAACTTTTAATTAGTATTTCGTAAAAGGCTGCCCATGCGAAATCAATCCTAGGCGAAAGGTACTAATCAGCTGTAATGAAAAAGGCCTCTCACTGAAAGATGAACAGAACTTAGTGTCATGTTGGCTTCTGCATGCTGCAGCTTTCCTCCCTCTCTGCAGAACAGAGTTTGGGATTCATACAGCCCTGACATGCTTTTCCCAATCTCCAGAATGAAGCAATTGTCCATGTAATTTTCAGAGAATACGTGTTTTGCCATTCTTGGCTCAGTTCGTGCTTTTTCTGTATTCCTCCCTCCCTCTCTCCCTCAAAAGACTGAAGTTACTTTTTAACAAGGAAGATTTTAACTGTGTAACTGCAGTAATCTGCCCTTGATGGGGGGGAGAGATTAATCATGCCTCAGATAAACTGAACGAATATGCTTAGAGCTGCAAGAACCTTGTCTTGAGCCTACGATGAACTTTCCTTTATGCGCTTTCCTTTAGTTTTGTGGTTGTGGTGGCCGTTTAAGGTGGCCGTTTGTCCCCTTAAACACTTGACTGCCACAAGCCACACATGCAGTATTTCTCAGCGCTGGGCTAACTAACCTCTGTCATGAGCTCCTTCTTACAGCGTTGAGTAGCTAAAATCAGGGAGTAGAATTCAGTTTAACTCACTCTAACTTTATGTAGAGCATAAACACTGGCTGGAGATACCAAAGGTGGGAGCAAATGTATGTACTTTCTATGTGAACTGATAGTTTAACTCCTAATGCACAAAGCGTACCCAGAAGTTTACTACAGCCTTCCTGCGGGCATCATGCCAACAGTTAGTGGCAAAAGCCATGAGCTCTTGTGTACATGGATTAAACAAAACGCATGTGGGTATTCATTGCATCACTATCCTCCATCTCAGACTCACTTCACTTCTTGCCTAAGGGGTCTATGGGTCTGAGCAGAGGTCCACACTGGCCGTGGGATTGACAGACTTCTCTTCCTAGAGAGATAGGGTGGGGGAGGGAATCTCTTTTGTTGACCCAACTCCTGTCGGCGAGAGACAAGCTTCTGAGCCACACAACGCTTCTTTCTAGCTGGGAACAGTACTCTGAGTGTCACAGCCAAATGCCAGGAGGAAATCCATTTGGCTGTGAGGCCGGGAGAGTCTTTTCTAGTCCTAGAGAAGAGCTCTGTGTGGCTTGGAAGCTCGTCTCGCCAACAGAAGCTGGTCCAATAAGAGAGAACGTCACTTGTCTCACTAAAATCCTGGGCCTGACACAGCTATGAATGCGTGGCATGCAAGCTTCACAATTAGCAGCTAACATTTGTCAGTTTTTTTTCTTGTAGAAAAATATGGTGTTATCCCCAAGAAAAATTTCCCTGAATCTCACACCACAGAGGCCACAGGAAAGATGAATGAGATTTTGAATCATAAGGTAAAGAATCTTAAAGTCCTTAAACTCTGGCTAGGGGAGCTTCATGAGCAGCTGCCTTAAATGTTCTCTATTGGTCAGAGCATTAGAAGCTAGTCTAGCTGCTACTTTGCTTCCATACAACATTGCATCTGTAAGGATTAAAAGGTGAAGGGGAACAGAAGAGGAAGTAAATTCGTGAATAGCTGCTACTTAGAGGTTTTGGTGGTCTTGCTTTCAAACAGTAATTTGAAAATATCCTGTTCAGCACTTTTTACAATGGTCTTTAGATCTCTAACTCCAAGGGAAAAATTCTGCCTGCGTGGCTGGAAGAGGATCTTTCTACAAATGTCATGCAGCCACAGAGAGCTTGTTTTCTCCTACTGTGTTCTCAAAGATGTCAAGGCTCTAATGATGCCTGTTGCCAGGTGTGGTGGCTAAGATTTACAAGTGCAGATTTAAAAAATACAGAACTAGGGATAGGGCCAAGACCAGCTTGCAGAGCAAAATGGACGCAGAGCTATGTGAAATACTGAAGTGACTGCGACTGCCTAAACCTGCCTTCTTCCTTTGTCAGACAAGAATCTGAATCTTTGGTGGCAAAAAATGAAATGGCAGTCAAAGCTTTCCACGAAAAGCTTTGTTTTGGCAATTCATGAGACCGTGATCAAGGGACAGCTGTTCCTGGGAATCTGCACAGATGATTTGGGGAATAAAACATGAAAACTGAGTCTGAGGCTCAGTGGTGTTGCTCAGGGACTGCCATTTTCCGGGCTTCAGTTTGATTCTGGCACACCAAATACCCGGATGGGAATCCCGGACTGTGCTACCGGATCTCGGTGACTATAATTTGGGGTGTCTGGTGACTTGATTTCAGTTCTTCCCACTGCAAGCAAAATGTTACTGCTTAGTCATTCGCTCGAAGAGGATAGTTGTGTGGCAGAGTTACCAAATATGTAACTCATAGTGTGTGGTTTTTGCTTCTTCCCTACAAGCCTCAGAAATGCTGTTGTAAGATCTGGACATCACCATGCTTCATTACACTGAGGTATCGATAAGAATCGAGTTCTAGGAAAAGCCTGCCAATAGTAAGCACCAGGTTGGTGGTTAGAAAAGATGAAGACAGGATTGATGATTTGTCAATACATCCTTCAGAAAATTTAAGAGTTGATTTTAAAATGTTGTGAACGACAGAGCCAACTTTTAATGGTAGCATGAGTAGTGGCTTTTCTGTAAACAAATCATTGGTGATGAAATGCCACAGAGATTAATAAAGCAAGTCCTGACTTCCTAACGTGCAGGCTTTGCAAATAGATACTGTTTATGCTCCTGTTGCAGTGATAACATGGCCTTTTCTTTTGAAACAGATGCGGGAGTACTGTTTGCGACTAAGAAACATGGTAGCAAGCGGGTCAACTAAGGAAGAACTCGATGGAGCAAAGGACGCTATGATAGAGGAGGTAAAATACATAACCCCTGATTCTTTCTGTAGCAGAAAGGGAGCCGCTAGAGATGAAGTTTTTCTGGCCTGCTCTTCTCCTTAAAGTGCAAAACAAACCCCTTCTAGTGTACAGAAATCTGGGTTACACTGAAGGCCAAATACTGTGCAAAGTGTTACTGTGTGATTGTTTTAGCAATGTTTTCCCACATACACTCTTCTCTGCATTTAAACCCTGAGGCATGCCATGGAGCTAGGGCACTTTACACCAGCTGAGGACCCCAGTGTTGTCATACTCAATGAATACCAAAATATGTCCAGCCTGGTCTCACTAACGGGCTAGAAGAATTGGAACCGATATTTTGTAAACCTAGTGTTGTTGCAGACATTCCCCACAAGAGAGCAGAAAAGCATAAGGAAAAGAAGTTTTCTCAAGCGTTAGCACATGGAAAACCTTTGGGTTAGTCAGCAATGAAATCTCTTTACCCATTAAGAAAATGAGTTGCTTTTTCTTAAAGGCAGGCTATCCAAGAACCACTCTAATTTTCAAGTGTGTTGTCTGGCTCTCGCCTCTCCATGGATCAAAAGTTAACGCTTTGCTTTACTGTATGGCTAGCTTAAATACAAGAGCTACTATATGCTATTTTCATCCCACCCTGTTCTCCTTAACTGTTTGAAAAATCAAACTTTTGCACTAGAAGCAGTGAACTTATTGCCCATAGTATGTCAAGATTGGTGTACATGGCCATGTCTTTCTAAATACAAATGCACGTCTGCATTCACTACTTACAGAAGTTTATGGATCTACCCCTGTGAGCCTGATGGAACGGGCCTTCTGAGTCATTTTGTACCGGCTCTGTTGGAGGAATCGCTCTTTTTCCTTCCCCTCTCCTCAGCAAACTTCTCAAAAGCTTCCTCTTAAATGTCTCCTTTCTGTGGCTTCTTTGAACTAAAGCTTCTAGGTCCTTCTCTGGTATTACGACTACTTCAGGTCGTGCACTAATCCACAGCTCCCTCTCCCCAGTTCTAAGGTTAAACTAAGGAAAGGGTTGATAGCAAAATTGGTACGGCACTGCACTCTTTGAGCATGGTATGTTAAAACAAAATCCTTTATATTCCACGAAGGGTGCCCTGGTAGGGGCCAAGTGACCTCTTACCTGGTTGATTCTACCCTTCCTTGGGCTGCAAATTACCTTTTTTCAGTTTAATATGTATTAATGTGATTTCTGACTTTAAGCAGTGAATTCTTAAACTGACTGGAAGACTTAATTGCACAATTAACCTGAAGCCTCCCAGAGTGGCTTGCTGAATTGAGATAAGGCAGACATACGAGTTCTCTGCAGATTTACGTTTCTTTGCTTTGTTTAGAATCTCCAAGTTTCTAGCTTTAGAAACTGGAAGCCGAGCTCATTAACGACTTGCTAATTTCTGCCTGAATCTGGAGATTGTGGTGTCCTCTTAAATATAAATAGTCTTCCTCTGAGCTAACCCCTATTGTTGCAGTACTACTGGCTGAGTACCACTTAGGTCAGGGGTGTCCAAACTTTTTTCAAAGAGGGCCAGATTTGAAGAAGTGAACATGCGTGAGGGCTGAGTCAGAGGCGGGCGGAGAGCGCAGGGCACGGCGGCCCGCGGGCAAGGCGAACCCGCAGCCGAGCGGGGCTGCGGACGTGCCCTACAGGGCAGGCTCTAGGACCGCGGTGGCGGCGTGGTCGGATTCAAAAGAGCACCAGGGAGCCAGGAGAGGGGGAGGAAGCGGGGGCTGTATTAAATCGGAACACGGGCCGCAATTGGCCCGCGGGCCGGACTTTGGACATGCCTGACTTAGGTGGATTTCCCTTTAGTAAATGTAATCGCCTGTCTTACTGCAAACCTAGAAGCAATTAACCATTTCAGAGGTGGACTGTGCTGTCTTGCATCACTTGTTGATCTGCATTTCATTGTACACCAGCATTTAAGTTTGTTGTGCCTGGCAAACAAGATTTATTCACCATTTGTCTCCATGGAGTTAATGTGCCAATTTCTAGGACTCATTTTCCTTATTGTGGGCACCAGTCCTTTATCTGAAGCTGAGCAGGTGCACAGTGCTCCTATTAATACTGGCTCTTGTGTTCCTGTAGAAACAGGGCCCTTCTCAAAGCAGCATTGGGTAGGTCACTGGGTTTGGTTTGAATTTTTTCTGGCTTCAGTGCTTTCTTTTTGTGGACTCTCCCTTATCAGCAGTGGCCTTTCTTTTCCCTGCCTAGTTTTGTTTTTAAACAAAAAGCCACCGTACTCTCGCCTTACCCTGTTAGCTGTCACTGGAGTGATATAAAGCTCTGTTTGGTTGAAAGGAGCCTCCGCTGGGTATAGGAAGAGGAAACTGTGGAGATAATGAGGGGTGGCCTAAGGTGGGTGTGGTGATAAACAATCCCAGGAGACCATTTCAAGCAACATTCCTCTTGGTGACGGGAGAGGCTTATCTCCATCACTTCCCTTCCTTTGGTTGGAATGTTTTTGCTGTCGGTTGCCTTTGGGCATTCTCCATTGACCTGTTTTGGTTTTGTAATGGGATGCAGTGAGAAACAGGACGCTCTGAGGTAACCCGGGGGTGCCCATGTGTAAATGCTCCCTTGGTGCAGACAGAATCTGAGAGAGACACAATCATTTGTAGAGGCCGGAGATTCAAATGTTGTTCTTTCAAACCTTTCTTGAAAACTTGTTTTATAAAAATAAAACAAGCGGGAATTTCTCCAGTAAAAACTTCTGTGTAAACAAGGGTTTGTGCTCAAGACCTGATTATGAATGTCTCATGGCAGGGACATTTTTATTTTTATCTTGTATATGGCCAGAGCACTGTTGCTCCTGCCACTCGAGTATTCTGTGTTTGAGCTCATAGGGGCCTTTAAAACACTAGCTGGAATGAAGCGTTTTAGATAATATCTTGTGAAATGAGGATAAAAACCAAAACATTCTAAGATACCTAAGTAGGTTTTCATTCCTATACGTCATCAAAGGAATGGGATTAAAAAAAGCCAAAGGCTTATTAGAAATGGGTCTGCTCCTTGCCATAGCTAGTCATTGGATGCAGCCTCTAGAAGCTAGCCATATAAGAGGGAAATGTCTGTTGGGTAGCATTTCTGGAAGCACCGCGTGTCCTATGTAAAGTGGAACACTTGTAGAGTGGGATAACAGGAGGATTCCTCACGTGGCCTCTTTAAGAGAAGTTGATTTCAAGTGGACTGTGTCCATTTAAATCTAGCCAAAGACCCTTCATCTAATAGAAATGAATAGATGTATGTCAACTATCCAGGATTAGGCATTTCAACCAAGGATGTCACACAAATCAACACATGAAGCACTTCAGGTAAGCTATACTTAACTCTAAATCTAGGCACTGTGAAATCTATTAAAACAGATAAGATTAATCAGAGTCCCAAAGAAGCAGAAATCCAAATCCTGTCCCAGAAGGAAAGTGATTAGCAGAGGTGTATCGTCAGAATGAAAATGTTCCTGTGCGTGTATGCTAGGAGAGAGGATTATGGTGTCCACGAGGCATGTTTATCCAGAGCCCTTTCCTAACCAATCTTTGTATCTACTGCGGGGAGGAGAGTTCTTCTGGAAGGTGGCAGCTAGCTTGGTTTCTCTGTGTCTCACCCGAGTATCTTTATTGTGGTTTCTGACTAGCTGCTTTTAGGTTCCATTGCACCATCGAAGTACCTGGGGATCATTTCACTACACATCCATGGGGTTCCTACAGTTAAGGTTTGGGCAGCATTTCAGCGGAACTGTAGACGTTTTTATTGTATTTCACTGCTACCACGCTCATGCAGCTTGGAATTAAATATATTCAAGCCCCACCTTGAGATCCTTAGCAAAGCTTGAGCAGGACACTGTGGTGTTTCTAGCATGGTGTGAGAGCTCTGGGTTTTGGGGCCTTTCATTTGAGGTTAAGGGGTGTTGCAGAGTGAGGGGATCTTAGTACCAGATGGGGGGCAGCCCAGGGTTATTCATAATGGTTTAAAGATGAACATTAAGAGCCTAATTCTGTAGTTGGTCCTTGTGTGAAGGTATCTGTTGACTAATGACATTTCTGTGGCTGGCCCAACTGCAGAATTTTGGTGCTTAATTGATAGCCTGAGAGAGAAAGCGTGGGTGAGTTTTCATGCCCCTTTGGCTTTTGGTGCAGGTATTCAGAATAGTGAGCATCTCTTTGGGGAGCCCCCCCGAGACCTTCTCCTGGGAGTTCCGAGATAAGGAGAAGAACTACCAGAAGATCGGTCCCGTGACACCACTGCAGTTCTACCAAGAGCACATCAAGCCGCTCTTCAACATGGAAGACAAGGTTGGGGAACACAACAAATACCTGCTGTTTCTGGAGCTCCTTTGATGTCAAACCTGTAGTACTGTGTGTTGTTGCTGCAGCAGGGGAGTGTGTTCACACTACTTGTTATGGGGGTGTGTGAGGCTATTGTTCCCAGTTGAGTCAAAGTTGGCCTTGAATTTACTCTCCCCTTCTTTCTGCATCCTCATCCCTTTTTGCATTTGCGTTGCATTTGCCTTGGTTTTGTGTGAATTTGGATGTGTGTTTATGGGATTAATTGTACTTTATTCATGCTTTCATGCTACTGTAAGATCTCCTGAGTGGCTTACCCACAAGTGCCTTGATAATTAAATATTAATAATTAGCATAGAATGAAGTTCCCATATGGCACTTAGATACTTGGACTAGCTTATAATGTGTCTTCCATCGCATTTGGTAAACAGCTGATGTTCCAGCGGAAGCGGTCCTCAGTTGCTTGGGAGGTCAGTTAGCTACAGCAGAAAAACTAATCTGATCAACTTGGAGTTACTAGTCTCAGAGGAGTAGCCGTGTTAGTCTGTAACTTCAAAAACGAGTGGTCCTGGGGCACCTTAGAGACTAACAAAAATATATACATATATCATGGGCTTTCGTCGGCAAAACCCACTGCTTCAGATAGGATGGTCTTGAGTTATTAGTTTCAGAGAGGTCACCATGTTAGTCTTTCAGCAAACCAATGAGGAGTCCTGTGGCACCTTGAAGACTAACCCATTTATTTGGGTAACAGCTCTCATGGGTTGGAGCCCGCTTCGTCAGATGCACAAAGTGGAAACTTCAGTTTGGCAGAGATGCGTGCTAGGACGGGAGTGTTACATTACCATGAGGAGGACCAGTGTTAACAAGGCCAGTTCAGTCAGGGTGTTTGTGGCCCACTCCCAACTATTGATCAGAAGATAGAAATGTAGGAACCTTTTGCAGGTTCTTTTGCCCAAGTCTGGCAACTTTGTCTGTTGCTGAGTGTCCAGGGAGGTCGAAGTGCTCTCCTCTGGTTCTTGGTGTCTGACTTGTGTCCATTTAGTCTTGTGCCTACAGAATCTGGTCTGGCCAATGTGCCAGCAATGCCCTTCTGTCATGTACATGATGGCCTAAATCACAGGTGAAAGCACCCCTAGTGGCTGTTATGGGTTAGGTCTTACGATGGTGTCACCAGTTTGGGGAGGTTACTGATTTCTTTGAGGCTTCAATGGCTTTGTGGTTTAAGTAGTAACATCTCACTGTTGGCAGATTTGTCTAGTGAATGATCCTCGACCCCAGAACCAGTACAACAAGCTCTACACCGTAGCATATCTGGGCAACATGGTGGGAGGGAGAAAAACGCTCTACAACAACCAGCCTGTTAACCTGTTGAAGAAGATGGCTGCAGCTTCCATTAAAGATGGCGAGGTTTGTGTTTTTTCTCTCTATAACCCAACATTTTGTCTCTTGTAGCATAAGGGGCTGTCTTGGGGCGTGGCCTGGGCATAACTACTCTCTCTCCTCCTTTTTAGGCTGTGTGGTTTGGCTGCGATGTTGGAAAACACTTCCATGGCAAGCTGGGCATCCTTGATATGGAGGTGTAAGTGCAGGAAATTAAAGCACGTGTTTTCTGGGGGGCACTGTTCACCGCAGTCTGACTACAAACTGAAAGTGCTAAGGGGATAAGTGTCCAAGAACAGATTTTTTTTTCCCCGATTGTTTTTACCCAACACGAGTAAGACACGTGTGCATTTGGACCTCTCTTCCAGTTAAATCTTCCCCCCCCCCCTTTTTTTAGCTGTTACTGAAATGCCGATACTCTGAAAACATCACTTGGTTGCTAATTCACCGATGTGAAACTTCAATGTAATATATTCGTAGCTGAAGAGAGAGGGACTTAACTGCAGTATGTTCCTTCCGTGCTTCTTGCAAAGCAAACAGGAAGGGGACGTAGAATCTGTCTGAATGTGGGTTATTCCTCAGCCCACTCTTGGAGCTCACGCAGTTCCTTGAATTCCCTAGTTCATAGAGAATGGTATTCCAAAAAGGGTCCCTTCACATTGATTCTAATTTGAGATTTGAAAAGGAGCGAAGCATCTGTCAGAGTTCCACTGATTCCTCCTTCCCTTCTGCGTTCACCTCCGTTGCATGGCTTACTTGTAGGTTTGACCATGAGCTGGTGTTCGGTGTCTCCGTCAAGAACATGAACAAAGCAGAACGATTAATCTTTGGAGACTCGTCGATGACCCATGCCATGGTCCTCACTGCCTTCTCGGAGAAGGTAAGATTCCACAAGCACTTGTGCTGTCTGCACAGGTTCAGCGGTCACTCACAATGTGTACGTATTCAGCTGAAGGGCAGCTTATTTGCAGCATCATGCGCAAGTGTAATGTCCCATGATATCTGTCTTACTGGTGTCACTTGTTTGGAGAAACTAGAAATAATAACTTACCGATGCAGGAAGAATCCTAGACGACAAAGCAATGGTTTGTGGCTTGGAGTTTGGTTTTTTTGGTTCTCAGATGTTCTTTGTTTGAGAAGGACAAAGAAACTTGGCTTGTATTTTTGGGAACCCAGCCAGTGTGTATGGGAATTCTGATTTATCTCCCTGACCAGGGAATCAAAAGTGATAGCACACCTCCCTGTCCATAGCATGCTGCTTAATCTAGTTTACGTTTAGCCCCAAGCACTGTAGCATGTAAAGCCTGCTTGAACAGCCTGCCGGAAGCACTAACTCATAGCTGACAATTCCTCCTCAAAACTAGTAGCACATGGCTTACAGAATCATAGAACGGGCATGAACTTGGAGGCTGTCTAGTCCAGCTCCCTCTGTTCATGGCAGGACCAAGCACCATCTAGACCATCCTTGACAGATGCTTGTCTAACCTGCTCTTAAATATCTCCAGTGATGAAAATTCCAGTGGTTAACCACCCTACGATAACTAGGGCACTCTTCTAATGTCAAAACTAAACCTTCTTTGCTTCAATTTAAGCCCATTACTTTCTATCTTCTCAGGAGTTATTTTTCTTAACTTTTCTCCCTCCTCCTTATAACAACCTTTTAGATACTTGGAAGCTCTTACATTCCGCAGGGATGTCAGCATGTAGACAACTATACAATTCATTGCTAAGCCTGGACTTATCGGTTAATCCTGTTGATCTCATGCTGCTGCCTCTGATACAGAGGCAGGAGCCAGTCTGCACGGGGAGCTGGTTTAAAAACCAGCTCCTGCCTGACATCCCATGCTTCTGATAGAGAAGCAGCAGTATGGGGTGGCAAGAGGCTCCCCAGGAATGGGGGTGGAGTGCACTGGCTGACAGCTCTGCCCCCGGGGGCTCTCGAAGAGTCGTGCAACTGCTAAAATTTGCTACAGTTACACAACTATTCAGTTACATGCTGTCTAACAGCCCTAATGTCCTGTCTTCTTTTGCAGACTGAACAAACCCAGTTCGTTCATTCTTCCCTCCTAGGTCACGTTTTCTAGACCTTTAATTACATGTTGCCCTTCTCTGCACTTTTTTTCTAATTTGGCCAATCTTCCCTGAAATATGGCTCCCAGACCTGGACCCAGTTCTCCAGGTGAGGCTTTACTTCGCCTGTTTGACTTACAACACTCCGAACACATACCAGAGTATTGTGTGTGTGGGTGTTTGTGGTTTTTTTTTTTTTTTTTTCAACAGTGCCACACTGACTCCTATTGAGCTTGTGGCCTGCTCTGACCCTTGGATCCCTTTCTGCTGTGATCCTTCCAAGGCAGTCATTTCTCATTTTTGTACATGTGCAGCTGCCTGCTGTAAATGTGGACTTAGTTAATTCGAAATAATGTTGCTGTGTAGATGTACCCTCAGGTGCTGCAGGACTGTTTGTTGGTTTGAGAGAGAAGTGCTTATGTATTACTGACAACTTTGCCAGAGTCAGTACTTTGTGCAAAGACATGAAATGGGATTGTCGAGTCAGATTTTTTTTTACCCCCCGTTGGAACTTCTTCTCAGCATTTAGTAATATTCTGCATACTGGTTTTCTACAACTTATGCATGTGCACACACTCTTCAAGTGTAAAATAACTGCCCTTGTGTGACAGGATTAAAGGATATTCTGATCAGTGTGAAGTTTGGGTATATGTGTGTAGTAACCTTATTACTAATGGCACTTAATTGGAAGACAGTACCTAACTTTTAGTCTTTCATGCTCATAGAAGCCTATGTGTAACAACATAAGGAAACATAAAGGGTATGTCTACACTACCCCGCTAGTTCGAACTAGTGGGGTAATGTAGGCATACCGCACTTGCAAATGAAGCCCGGGATTTGAATTTCCTGGGCTTCATTTGCATAAACTGGGTGCCGCCATTTTTAAATCCCTGCTCGTTCGAACCCCGTGCCGCGCGGCTACACGCGGCACGAACTAGGTAGTTCCAACTAGGCTTCCTAGTCCGAACTACCGTTACTCCTCGTGGAATGAGTAACGGTAGTTCGGACTAGGAAGCCTAGTCCGAACTACCTAGTTCGTGCCGCGTGTAGCCGCGCGGCACGGGGTTCGAACGAGCAGGGATTTAAAAATGGCGGCACCCAGTTTATGCAAATGAAGCCCAGGAAATTCAAATCCCGGGCTTCATTTGCAAGTGCGGTATGCCTACATTACCCCACTAGTTCGAACTAGGAGGGTAGTGTAGACATACCCAAAGTGACTTAGGCTGTAATCTGGTTTCTTTTCACACTGAAAACTGGTTTTGGAATGGCAGCAATTATAGAAGTACAAATTCCTTCCTGGCATTTTGTTTCCTTGGTCTGCAGCTCATGTTTTTTACCCTCTTTACAATTTTGATATGCAAAAGTTAATCTCTGCTACACAATCTGGAATGAATTGGCTCTGTTATAGTGTTATGAATTTTGACAAATGTAAGGAAGATCTGCTCAACTGAAAACACATTCCCAATGCAAACTATATATACTTTGCTGCTGTTAAGACAGAGATAATGGATGTTTCTAGAGCCAAGAGGTAACGTAAAGGAAGTGGTGCCTCTTCAACAGTAGAAGATGTCCAGTATTTAAAGGCGTTTTTCTTACTAAAATAATAGCTAGGGTTGTATTTGTGTGTTTGAACTTGTTGCCTTATATAAACCTTGACTTTAATCTAAAGGAGCTTTCAAAGGTAGCCGTAAATCCATCACAGCATTAGGGTTTTTTACTGGTTTTGTAAAATGGCTCTGATTGCTTTGGGATTTTCTTGTTTGTTTTGTTTTTCCCTTCAATGTTACAATGTAATTTATTTCCAAAAGAGGCACATTTAATCTATGCCCATGTTTCTAAGCCATACTTGTTCAATTTACATGTCAGAGGGCGCGTGCGTGTTCTCAGCTTAACACTTTTGGGACATCTCTCTTGAGCAAATTATCGTGTAGGTTCTTGTTTGCTTAAAGTAAGTGTAAGTGTGTGTGTGTGTGTGTGTGTTTGTGTGTGTGTTTGTGTTTGTGTTTGTGTTTGTGTTTGTGTTTTTTGTTTTTTTTTTCCCTCCCAACCTCATCCAAAAACTTAACTTCAGTGTAAAACGTCCTACTGTGGATACAGGAAATAGAGGGAAAGGGCAGGTTTTTCCAGAGACCAGAATTAACCTTTCATTATCATGAACATCACAGAAGGCAGAATAGTAGAAGAAATGTATTCCTAGTTCATGAGAGCTGCTCTTTGGAAGCTTAAGGATTTTCTTATTTAGTAAACGGATGGGAGTTGTCTTCTGAGTACTTTTGTGCACTTGAGGATAATGTGAAAACACACCAGAATTTTTCCGAATGTGGACTATGTGAAAGTGCTAATGAAGATCAAGTATCAGAGGGGTAGCCGTGTTAGTCTGAATCTGCAAAAGCGACGAAGAGTCCTGTGGCACCTTATAGACTAACTGAAGTGTAGGAGCATCTGATGAAGTGGGTCTTTGCCCACGAAAGCTTATGCTCCTACACTTCAGTTAGTCTATAAGGTGCCACAGGACTCTTCGTCGCTTTTGCTAATGAAGATGTTAGGCTAAAACAGAACACGGTTTTGTCTACACTCGAGCACAGCTCTTTGTCACTGAACCAGTTTAGGCACAAACAGTCGAGGGTATCCACATTTGATGCATGTTTTCATGTTTGCCCCTTGTTCTCTCAAGCAATATCCTAAACTGTTTCAGTTGCAAGGACTCCTAGTTACCTCTCGCCTCGTTCCAGAGTGCACTGCTTCTGAGCAGAACCAGGGCAATTTCATGAGGCCACTAGTGCATGGTGGGGCACTAGGAGGGTCTAGCAGCACTGTTTCAGCTAGTCAGAGCCAGTGTGGACTCAATCGGATTCAGTTTGAATTAAGCTGTAACTGACCATTAAACTTGTTGAAAGCCAGCGTGGAATCAGACTGAGACCATTCAGCAAGACGGCCTAGTGACCCACAGCTGTGGGTGGGGGGGAGGGGAAAACGACTGTTTTGGTTTTTTTAAATCAGGCAGTGGTGCCCCATGATGGCTGGGAAAGTCTAGCTCAGGGAGGCTAAGAAAAACAGGATGAAATAGCTAATAGGCCCCCATCTGGAATAGAACCTCTCCAGGGAGACCACAGCTGGATAATATGCTGTCTGAGGGGGAACCCTCCATTGACAAACTGAAAGTTTTCCCACCCTGATCACCTCACCTTTAAGACCAATGAGCAGCCCCCATAGTATCCAGGTGTTACAGCAGTACTGCCTTGGCTCGCCCATCATCAGGAACAGTGCAAGCAGAGACCTTCCAGGCTGTGAGTGCAAACAGGAAAAGTACTTCACCAAAATAACTTCCTCTCCTATTGACAGACAGTTCTCTTGGCGGGAAGGTGAAGTGTCTGGGGGCTTAAAGGAGGGCGCGAGCATTAATGTCGCATAAGCTGGATGTTTTGTCTTCCCTAAGAAATAAAACGGCTTGAGCTCATTCACTGAAAGAGCAAAGTTGTTTGTCTTGAGTCATCATTTGGGCTAATTTTAAAATTGAGGAAGACCGCTTAGTATTGCGCCTTGAGTGGATGAAACTACATATTTATTTACGGCTGATTTTTTTTTAAAAATGCCTCTTCAGGCATATCTGTTCCTCGCTAGCTAAAACCATTACACACCCTCCGACAGGACAGGGTGGTGCCTCTGGGTGCTTGAGTATCTTTCGTGGGATATGTAGATGGATATGCCAGGTGCAGGTTAGCCAAGAAAAGAGGCTTACCGTTTCAAATCAGATTAGCAAGAATTGATCACCGGGAAGGGAGAAACAGAACTATTTCTAGAAACTTTAGTGAGACTTTGGAGAGCTAACAGGTGAGAAAATTTAGGATACTTGAGTCCAGCTCAGTGAAGCGGGGAAAAGACTTAATAGAAACATTCTCGGAGAGACTTTGTGTTTCAAGCCAGGCTATGGACTTTAAGTCCCATACAACATAACAGAAGGTAGTTCCTTGTTCTATACAAGAATGCTTGTAATGCAGCTGTGCAAAGTACTTGGAGCTTTTGTAAAAGGATTGACCAGTGTCTTGCAAAACACAATGCGGATGTGTTGCAATAAAGAAATAATTGCCTCAACTGACCAAATTTCCTGTAAGAGGGAGACCGTGTCTTACAGCAGTCAGTGCTTTTGCTTCTTAAATCACCACCAACGCAACCACAACACTTTATTTTTCTGAGAGTCCCCCTAGCACGTCACTCAGCACATGGTCAGGCGGTGCTGCTGGCCATGATTTCAGAAGTAGAAGCACAGAGTGTCAGACTTGCAGGGATTTCTCCACTGAATACACATTTCACTTTGTTTCTTGCAGGATGGACAAGAAGGATCATTTGAGAAATGGAGGGTGGAGAACTCCTGGGGTGAAGATGGCGGCGTTAAAGGTAACATTGGAGCAGTCACATGAATACACTGCTGAGCTCCGTTTATGGAAGTGAGGAAGTAGAAGTGGGGAAAGGCCTTGTGTAGGGGACACTTCTGCATAGATGTCATTTGGTGCCCGCTTGTTGCTTCTAATCTTTTGCTGCGAATGAGATCGTATGCCGGGGTGGCCAACCCATTAAACAAAGAGCCGAAACAGCGGCGGAAAAAATGCAAAGAGCTGCACCAGAATTGTGGAGGGGGAGGGGAGAAGAGCTCCCCCACCCCCCAAAAAAGGATGCTGCCTATGGGTTAGGCTTTTTGGCCACATCAGGCTCCCGTTGGCCGACTCCATTTTGCCGTGCCAGACGTCTCCCCTGCACCCGGTGAGCACAGGGAGTCGGGGGCTGTCTGTGGGGGCACATGGGGTAGCTTTGCGAGCGGCATTTTCAGGGGTGAAGAGCCGCAGGCTGGCCACCCCTGTTCTATGCCTTGTATTGTAGAAGAGAAGTAGCAATCTTACTGTGGTCGTTTTTCTCTTCCAAACTCCTGTCCCACAGGGTTAACTGCAGGGTCACATAGTCTGCCTCAGCCTCCAGTGGTCTAGAAGCTTAGAGCAGTGGTTTTCGTCTTGTGGTCTATGGTCCCCTGGGGCTCAGAGGAATGTCTCAGCTTTTCAAAGGGGGCTGCTCCTCCACTTGACGCGTATTTGGAGGTTTCAAATTTGGATATTTGAAAACCACTGACTTGAAAGCAGAATTCTGAACTTGGATCCTGGCCTGGTAGCATCATGTGCTGCCTGTTCAGCTAAATATTGCCTTGTGGGGTGGCAGGCGTGTCCATGTTTCCAGTAAGAGGGATTTAGGTGGTTGCCGTCCCAGTGTACTAGATTATGGAATCAGTTGAACTAGGGCAGAGGAATACACTCGGACCGCTTGTGACTGTTATAAGCAGCCACCAGGAGCAGTAAAGCTGGAGACTGGGAAGACTCCAACTGGATTCTTTGTGACCAGTCTTCAAGAGCCTGCTGACCAGAGCCTGTGCGATGGAATGAGAATGCAGACTGCAGTACATACTACATCAGCTGGTCTTGGGATTATGCTAGATCCAGGGGCCTAGCTTCTCTCCCTGACTTTGCTGTGGGTTTCCTGTGAGACTGGGCTGGTCACTTAATTTCTGAGCCTCCCTTTTCCCGTCAGCGGACCATAGATCAGAGATGCTGCGAGGCTTCATTTAATTAAGGTTCACAGAGTCCTTGGAGTCGCCAGCTGTGAGAATAAAGACAAATGCAAACTGCATTATCGGGGGGATGCCTTGGCCTTGTCTTGTAATGATTTTAGCCATTTAATAGGGCACATCTTTTAATCTCCACATGAAAACATAACGAATGGTTCTTGGCTGACTTCTGCCACCAAACTCAATGGCCCTCATTTTGTCTAAGCCAATTGAAGTGCTAGTAATATTTCGCTTACTCAGATTGCTGGCGTCTTCCCCTCTAGCTTGACTGACTTCTTGTTATTGTTGGGTTCCATAAATACTCCTCGGAATGACTATGATGAATTTGAGGCACCATTAAAACTCAGTTTGGTGCCCTGCAGAGCAAATTGTTTTGTTGGTGATTTCCTGTATACCGTTGTTTCACTTTGTAGTGATGCCAAACTACGGCTGAGTGTATTGACATGCTGTGGCGAGGGCAGGGCCTCTCAAACATCTGTGACTTGCCAAGAGGAATTTCAGGAAATGTCATCATTGCCTATCCGTTTACTTACGCTTGTTGATGTTAGTGAAGCATGAAAACCAACACAATACACATGAGAGATTCAAGTTATTTAAAACGGGGGTGGGGAACCTCAGGCCTGGGGGCCGGTTGTGGCCCTTGGCTTGGCTGGATCCGGCCCCCGAGTCTCAGCATTGGAGAGTCTGTGCTGGCCCTCCAGACTCCCAGCCACCCACCTGCAGGGCTGGAGCGCACGCAATATACTAGCCTGGGCCCCCTAGGCTCTGGTGTGTGGGGGGTGTGTGAGGAGTGACTTTTCCCCTCAGTCAGGGGCTTCTCACTTGTGTGCGGCCCCCGACTGATCTTGCTGTCGGTGAGTAGCCCCCAAAAAGGTTCCCTGCCCCTGATTTAACACATGGCTCGTTGAGCTCATGTCTAAGTAAATCTAGTTTAAAGCTGTGATGGCACTGGAATCTGTTTTTTTTTTAATGTTTGTGAAAATGATGCTAAAGTCTTCAAAGGTTGTGTCTAAAAATTGGCTAAATAGATGACTGCTTTGTAATAACCTGCTTATACCTTTATAGACGAAAGATCGCCCAGTCTGACCTACTGGATAGCCCAGGCCTTTAAATGTCACCTGTAGACAGCCCTGTATTTGAACCCAGTAACTTGTGTTCTCCAGCATCTCTTATAGCATACCCAGTCTATAGCATATCCTGCTTGAAACATCAAGAGACAGGATCCACCTCTCCCCTGGGAAGTTTGGGCCTATTGCCCTCCGGTCCTTCACTTGCTGCTACCTTCGCTCACAGAGCAGGAGCCGCAAGCATTGGACTTGGGAAATCAAAATGTTCACTTGGGAAGTCTTCCCCTCTTCCTCCTCAGTGCCATGTGGACACGCTGGTGGTGGTTTGAAAGTGCTGGTTACCAAAGGGTTCTCTGTGCAGTGTGAGGGACACTGGTCATGAAATTGCTTGTGTGTTCTGGGCAGCATGCTGGGTTTTGTTGAAAGTGGGTTCCTTGGGAATACAGGAGAGCAGGCCCTGGTCTCTTATGAAGCGCTTTCTGTACGCCGGGCTGTAAAGCGTCCACGCACCATTTGCATGTTTGGCCGGTGCTACCTATGTATGTTGGGGGGGGGGGGGGGAGATGACATGGGCCCCTTGGATGGAGTCCACATGCTTCCTAAGGCACCGATTTCATGAGCTGCTCCAGAATTTTTGTCTCTTTTCCATTAGTTATGCTTGTATCTTTTTTAACAAGGTTTTCTTCTGGCTGGGCAAAAGGTTTGATAGCCAAAGACGGGCCACGGTGCGGGACTTGTTCTCAAATCCTTCCATGTGGACATGGACCTGATCTAGATACGTTGGTCACGTGCCCATCTAGTCTGAAATGCAGGCTGCACCTCCCAGGCTCAACCCCCTTGGGACCTGCCCCTCTGCTGCTGCCAGTTGTGACTGAGGCTGCTCTACCTGGCATTGACCAAGCAGCGGGAGGGTGCTCAGGAAGAAGCCGGGTGGCCCCGGAGTCCTGTGGGAACGCACTTAGTCCCCCACCCCCTAAGTTTTAGTGCCCTCAATGAGCTATTTGCAGTGCCTGGCTTTTTCCCACCAGTGCTCCAGCCTGGGAGCGACCACGGCTGTTTCCAGATGACAGAAGTCCAGACTCTAGATGTCAAGGATGTTAAAATGCATTTGTCACTGCTGAAAATGTTGCTGGTTACATGCGGGGCGGCAGTTGGTGGGTGGGGAGCCGGTGCTTAAGCTGGCTCCCCTTGCGTACCGGGAGCCTGCGGGTACCCACATACACGGGTACACTTTCACATCCGTAATAGAGGCCCAACCCGTATGAGAGTAGCATTTCTGTCTCCTGCAGACTTGTGTTTGGAAGGAAGAGTGTCTCTGCTGTTGTGTGGTTCTCTTGTTGCAATATGTGCAGTTCCTTCCTTGGAAAACAAGCGAATATTTTTGTAGTGTAACAGCTGAAATTCCAGAGATTATGCAAAGGAAACATTTTAACGAGCCAGTAGATAAGCTAGAAATGGCTGTGCAAGTCCAAATTAGGCAGCGGTCACTTCCAAGAAGCCTCAGCACAGAGTGAAAAATCCGTTATCCCTTTTTAAATGAGAAGGAAGGGAGAATGCAGTCTAATTAATTGGCATGCTTCACAGTGAGACTTTCTGGTTGGGCTTCATGCTAATTATCTAGCCTGCTTTACCAGCATTATCCCCTCTGGGGGGGGGGGGGGCTCTCGCCAAGCTGTAGCTGATGTTGTTCAAATAACAGTGCTTCTACAGAAACACAAGCTGCACTCGGCTTTTCTCTACAGCATTTGGTGCACATGTTATTTATCTTGTCAGGTGAAACTTCCTCCCTTTGGAATTGAGAGACTGGCATTCGGCCTGGTTCAGTCACTGCTATAAGCAGATACTGAGCAAAGTATCCCAACGCTGCCAGTGGCCGTTTGCCTTAATTTGCAAAATTCTTCCTGTTCCAGCTCTGTCTATATAAAGCTGTGCTGAAAATCAGATCTGTGAGTTCCCCAGTGCTGGTAGCCCATTCTACAGATGGGGACTAGAGGCACTGGTAGACTAAGGGACTTACCCACTGTCACACAGGAAGTCTGGCAGAATGGGGACTTTAGACAAGGACTGCGGAGAGCCAGGCCAGTGCCCGAACCACTGGACCAGACTTCCTTGTCTGGCTCTTCCTAATGAAATGCTCCCGCCATTAGGCTTTTCTAGGGAGAAGAAAGGAGAAACACGGTGCAGCTTTGTACTAGCAGAGTACCGGAGAACTAAATCTTATACAGGACTTTTTGGGCAGTCACTTAGTAGGCCCTGCTGAGCCTTTTGTCAGAACAGGCAGCGGCGATGCCAGAGTCTCTGTTCTCTCGAACAGACGTGGCTGGAGTCAAAACACTAGACCGGAGGTCTCCGACCTTTTTAAGCACAAGATCACTTTTTGAATGTCAGTCCAGGATCTACCTGAAACCCAAATACCCCTGCCCCGCCCTCCTCACTCTGAAGATGGGGTACAGGGGAGGGGAACAGAATGACACCAGCACCCCCCTGCCTCTGTCTCCCCCACCCTGCACAACAAGGAGGAGGCTCTCAGGCGCAGCAGGGCTGTGTGGGGAGGGGCAGCTGAAGTGCTGGTACTTGACAACCTCCCAGCCAGACCAGTCAGGATCACCTGTCAGAGGCTCTAAGATCTGCCAGTAGATCCTGATCTACCGGTTGGTGTCCACTGCACTAGACCGGGCCTAGCTGGGGCTGCACTGCTGCCTTCTGCCCCGAAATACAATCACAACTCACTGCCCTCTGTTTATCCCTTGTAGTTGGCATGCAGAGCCAGGGGTGTGCTTTGGACATCCGTGGGCGGCTCTACTGTACTCTTGAGGCGAGGGAATCATTCCCATGACAGATGATGGCTTTCCCTGTGACTCTGGCTACACGCCTTCTTAAGGGACAGTGACCAGCCCTGTTCGATCGAGCTAAGGTTTGACTTGTTCAGGCGCTGGGACCCCACTCAGTCCACTCCCGCTCCGACATGTGGAACGTCGACAGACATGGAGGCGGGGAATTCATTATCCTGCAGGTGCAATTACTAGTTGACTGTCAGGGGAGAGAGGTTTTTTTGTGCCCCAAGAACTCATATCCTGGAGAAAGAACAAGGCAGCGTCTCTTGGCAGTATATCCAAACCAGCTTCTAGCTCGCATTACAATTGATAGGCTTTTTAATTTATGGGCATTCAATCTGATCTCTTGCTGTAGAAACAAGATGGTGTAGATAGATGCACTTATTGTCCATATTCTTTGGGCATTTTCTTGTTTCATTTGATTGTGCTGATATTGCTACAGGGACACGAACTTCATTACACAAAGCTTCCTCATCTGCTTTCTATCAAATATAGCCTCCCTCTCCCTGACAGCGCGTGGTCTCAATTCGTGCTGAATTCCCTGGAACAGGTGTACCTTAAGTGATAGGCTTGTCTCAGATTGAAAGGACTTTGAATTCCCTAGTATGTTGAAAGCCAAGATGTTTTCTATGTTGGATTTTCTTCAAGATTCCTGGCTAGAGCCTTGTAGAGAGGGAAGGGTATAAACATGAGGTACAGTTTATCCTGAACTTAGTTTCAACCAGAGGGTGTCTCAGTGGCTTTGTTTTTGAGGGGAGAAATTAGCACCTAACATGGACCAGCTCTCCGTCTCCTGAACTCTGGAGAAGGAAGCCCCAGACAACTGGGGAGGTTAATAAGCAAAGAGAACAGCCTCAAGTTCAGCCTGCGCAACCAGGGATGTATTTAATGTATTGCAGGCCAGCTATGTTTCAGAGCTAGCGCTCTTAACCTGTTTCAGCAAAAACAACAAGGATTCTGCTGCGTATACGGTGCCACCGGACTCCTTGTTAGTTCATCTACATATGAATATTCGTGATGCCCATTACAACAGCAGCATGGGACTGACTGGTGAAAAGGAGCCACCCCTCTTCAGAGAGCCTGCCATTGCTAGAAGAGTAACCTGTGCTCCAGGACTCTGCTGCTTGTGGCCCAGATGAGAAATCCCTTTGCTCTGACTCTTGAGACTCTCTGTACTGAGTAAAAGGGGCCTGTATTTTCAAAGCTGTTCTCAGAATTTCCTGTCCAAGATTCTTGTCCCGGTTTCTTCCTACTTAGGTTTGTTACTGCCAAGTGTCCGTCATAGCTAAAAATCAATTGAATTTGGAACAGAAAATGGAAGTCTCCAGGGCTTTGCCACAAGTTGCTGTGGAAATATTGCAGCACCTTAAAGTTTTTCCAGTTACAGACTATTTGTGGTTTAAGTTTTTCCATATCAGTAATGTCCTTTGGTAGTAACCTCCTTTTATCTTTTATCCCCAGGTTACCTGATCATGACGGATGACTGGTTTTCTGAGTATGTGTACGAGGTGGTGGTGGATAAGAAGCACGTGCCAGAAGACGTCTTAGCAGTGATGCAGCAGGAACCTATTGTCTTACCAGCATGGGACCCCATGGGCTCACTAGCAAAGTGAACTGCAGAGCATTTGCCTCCCAGTGCACAACCAGAAGTAGATGTAAAATAGAAACCCAGAAACCAGAAGCCATAGCCAAATGATGTGACCAAGCGCAGACCTTGGGCTATAGTCTTTAAATGTATGCTAAGGATCTTTTCAGGAAACCGCTTTACTGAATGGCCGAGTGAAAAAGGGTGTCAGACTACTCTGCACCTGCACAGAAAATTTGCCCACCTCATCATGCTACTGTATAAGTGCTTTCAATGACAGTTGGATTTTATCTCTTTAATAGTGAACATAACCCTGTGAAACAACTGTTTTGGTTGGTGCATTCCATAGGAGATGACTGTAGATGGCCATGTTATAGGATAACGAGCTTAGTGATATTGATTAGAAAAGAACAGCAAAATGTTTATAATTAGTCATTCCTGTTTTTACTTGTACTATAAAAGTATCCAAATTCAGTATTGGCTTAACTGTGTTTCGAGAGAGCTGTTTACATTTACCAGGAGTTGGTCTCAAGGAGGTAGGTGCGTAAACTTGGTTCAGCTTAAGAGTAACTTTTCCAAAATTTATCCTGTTCCAAGATGTACTTCATCTGATTGCTTTCTGCTCTGCCCTGTGAGCGTATGACCAACTGATTCTGGTGGGTAAAACTTAAAAAAAAATAATTAATTTTACACTGATTCTAGTGGGTGTTAATCTGTACCCGCAAGAATGATTTTCAATAAGAATAGAACAACCACAAACCTGTTCAGAGAGAATATGGTGCTGGTTTTTAATTATTGCCTTTTAGTTGGACGTCTTCAACTCAATGGTGCTATGAAGCTTTTAATTAAAACCCTTTCTGGAGTTTTAGGTACAGCTGTTTCCTTTTTTGTCAAATTGCCCATATGTATCTTCACCGAATCGGAAAAATGTTCATGTCCCACAATCAGCTCTTGGGGAGCCGGAGCACTAGCAGGTCGCCAAGCCACGTTACTTGATCTTCCCAGTAGTTGTCACCAGTTCTCCCCCAGTGTATACAGATGAAGACATTCACACTACAGGAGCTCAAATACCAAGGGGATGAGCACAGTGTAAATTCTTAGATCCAAATCAAGCCAAGCTGTTAAACTGCCTAATGTGACCCCCTGTGACAGTGCTTTGTGCTGTTCTGGGCTGAGACTTCACTCATTGGGGAAGGGAGAAAGCCAGGGGAAGGGCAAAGGGAAGAAAATACTGATTGAAAAACTAACCTACTATAGGTAAAACAGTGCTAGCCTGAAGCACAAGCAAGGACTGGGAGTGTTGGGGTTCCTAATTCAGCTTCTATTCCTGACGTACTGTCATGGAGTATCTTTTTCATCTCCAGGAAGGACCATTAAAAATTCATGGTGTAAACAGCAAAAGTCTTGGTTGCAAACACACTTGCTTTCAGCCTTTCCTTCTGATAGTCACCAACAGAAATCTGAGGCTCCATAAAGGATCCCAGTGCATTTATTCCTAGATTTCAAGCATATGCTGCTTGGCTTTCCTCCAGGATTACCATTGGAAAAATGGATTAGACTCTTCCATTTTGAGAAGGAAGGTCTGTGGAAGCATGCCCTGAGCAGCTGCCATAGGAAGGGTCTCGAGGGATTTGCTTCTGGTTTATGAAACATGCTCCTAGGTGCTCATCCAAATCCCGCCCACGTAAAGCACCAACGTGCACCGAAGAACTACCTTCCCTGAGGCAATCTTCTTGGGGCTGAACATGGTGGTTCTTACGTAGGCATAAGGGTCGTGCCTCTGGACGTCTCGGGGTCATTTAAAGGTTTTTGTTCATGATGTGCTAGTTTGTCTATTGCTCCATGGGGTTTACCACTTGAGTAGAGCCACCAAAGGGCGTTAATGTCTCCTGACACAGTGAATAGTTTTATTTTGCCCATGCCAGCTCTTACAACTGAGTCTGACAAAAAGTGTCTCAGGCCCATTTTTGTTTAATTTGGAATATTTAAAACTATTGTCCAGTTCATGTTCATCTCGGCTGTTCTTGCCAGGATGTTTCCCAATACAGTTTATACAATAGCTTGGTCTTCCCACCCCCTTTCTAAAAGCACAGAACATTCTGAGGGTTGTGTAAAATGAAGCCACTATGACAGAATCATAGAACTGGAAGAGACCTTGAGAGGTTGATGAGTCCAGTCCCCTGCCCTCATGGCAGGACCCAGCTCCATCTAGACCCTCCCTGATAGATGTCTGTCTAATCTGTTCTTAAATATCTCCAGGGATGGAGATTCTGCAACCTCCCTAAGGAATTTATTCCAATGTTTAACCACCCTGACAGGATGTTTTTCCCAATGTCCACCCTAAGCCTCCCTTGATGCAATTTAAGCCCATTGCTTCTTGTCCTGTCCTCAGAGGCCAAGGAGAACAAGTTTTCTCCCTCCTCCTTGTGACACCCTTTTAGATACCTGAAGACCGCTATCATGTCCCCCCTCAGTCATCTCATTTCCAAACTAAACAAGCCCAGTTCTTTGTCTTCCCTCATAGCTCGTGTTCTCTAGACCTTTAACCATTCTTGTTGCTCTTCTCTGGACCTTCTCCAATTTCTCCGCATCTTTCTTGAAATGTGGTGCCCAGAACTGGACCCAGTATTCCAACTGAGGCCTAATGGGGGTGCAGGTGAGGGGCAAAGAATGACTTCTTGTGTCTTGCTCACAATACTCCTGATATTGCAGGTGTTCCATCTGCACTCCCTGCGGCTTTACAATCTTGGCAAGAGTGATGGGGACAAAGAAATGCCAGTGTTTCTTCTGCATTCCTAACACCCAGGCTGTTAAACCAACAGCTTTTGTAGCCCCTCAGTGTAAGGATAAGGTCTTGTCCTGTAACCGTATTTACTCTGTAGCCATATTGGAAAGCCTACAGCCATATTGTGTCTGCAGCCAGATGAGAAGGCCGCAGCCATTACAGAGAAGCAGGATATCATAACCTCACTTTCCAGCTATACATTTACATTAAATATCAGGCTTTTAAGTAGGAGATCTAACAGCACTCCTCATCAATGGATAAAGAAACTGTTCTTAAGATGGTTAAAGAACATTTGGATTGACAGCATTCTGTCTGGTAAGAAACCTGATCAATAGTTGTGGCTGTGAAATCCTTGCTTCTTTCTTGTTGTCGTTAAGGTCCCACTTTTCTCTATTGTTTATCTGTAAGGTCTGATTCCTTGATTGGTTTTGTCCATAAAATTTTGTGAGGTGTGAATCCATTAAGGTAATTGGATATGATTGGTTAGATAACTGTTAGACTAGAGTATGATAAGATTTTAGTGTAATTAGTAACAGTAGAACCAAGGAGGACTCAAGTTTCACACTTTAACCTGGGGCCCAAAAGGAAATTCTTTGGGAACCAATTCTAGGGCAGATCCAGGATCTCAACCCTGTGCCACCAGCACCACGCAGAAAGTGGAGTCCCCCAGACTGGCCTGATCCTGACTGGCCGTTGAGAAGCTGATCTGTCTGAATGCGGGTGGGACGTGTGTGTGCCTGAGGCAAGAGCTCAGTGCACTGCCATGTGTGTGGCACTTGCACTGCATCAGTGAAACTGAAGACAAATTAACTCCAGCACTCCCTCTCATGTTTTGTTTCTATCTGGCTTAATGGTCTGTTTGCTGCTAATGGCCATAGGCAATTCTCCCTCCTATGTGAACTCATATCTCTCAGAAACCTGGCCGTGTCTTGGATACAAACTCTCATTCAAGAATTGCGAAACTTACAGGAAATGTTCTTTTACAGTTCATCATTGCTCTAAGTTCCCTCCATTCCTGCAGGCATCCCTAACTTCTCCCATGCGGAATTGAAGCAGAGACGGATGAAGTGGCTGCAGTTTGTTACGTCCTGGCTCAGAATGTCGACATCCATTTCCCAGACCAGGCTGCCTCTTTGTCCCAGCGGTAATGTGGTAATGCAAATGGCAGCTCTCCTTTCTCGAATTCAGAACGGAGCCCGCCAGAGGCGATATCGAGAGGCTCTAAGCTCCATTATGAAAACCAGGTTCTGGTGTCGTCAGCAGCTGGTGGGTACGGATAGTCCCAAAAGCACCTTGGTCTCGTCTGTCACAGCAATACGTGGGTGTGGAACGTTGCCAGTTTTGTGTAGAGTGGTGGGCCTAGCCCCTGAGTCTGGTTTGATGGGACAGGTAAAGCGTGGAATGTTTTTGTTTTCCGGTCAGGTTTTACGGGCTTGATCAGAGAAGAGAGGATTAGGATTAAAATGGCATTTCAGTTAATGGAACGCAAATCTATGAACAAAGCCTGCTCCGTGTACAGTCCCAAGGAAAGGGGAACCTGTCCCTAAGCGACTGGGAATCCAGATTGCAAGGAAACATTCATATCCAGTTGGTAAAAAGAGGCTGAGGGTAGAATGGGGGTGGGGGAGCCAAACACCTTAGAATGTTCTTATTCAGCTCAGCTATATCCCCAACGCACCGTTTGCAGGTGGAGAGAGAGATCTTTCAGTTGCACATGGACTGACTGATGGGAAGACACGGTGCTAAGACTAGAACCTTACACTTTTTCATGTGCATTCACAAACAGTCCCTTCCTACAGCCTGTTGTGACCATGTCCTGCTAGGTGGGGATGGCGACGTGCCTAAGCAGCTCCTGAATATTTCATCCCCAGTTTTTGCAGAGCCACCCACCTCTAGATACCTTTTCTTCCCGCTCCTGGGCTGAACAAGGCTTCTACCCACTTCCTGCTGGACTAGAACTGAGGCTGAGCGTCAGATTCTGGTCTGCTGTGGTAGCCTGTTGCAGCCACGGCCTTTAATTGTGCACTAGGGCAGAGATGTTCCAAACACCAGGCTGGGGGCCCCTCACTTCCTCCTACAAGGAGTTACGAGTTCTGGTGTAGGCTCTATTGGGGCCCAAGGGCAGGTCTCCCCTCCCCCCCCCCCCCCCCCCACCCCTCTGCTGCAAAGCCTGCACTTCAGGAAAACATTACAAGAGAACACTTGCTGGTTCCCTCCCAGCCAGCCGGTTCCCAGAGGGAGCAGGAATCCCCAGACTCTTGGGGGCTCCTTGGCTTCCCCTTGTCTCAGAGCTCCAAGCAGCAGCTATCCCTGGGCTCTCTTGTCTGCAGGAGATGTTCTTGAAACGTCTGCTGCGAACAGCCCGGAGACATGGGCTGAGGGGAAATGTCTGGCCTGCCTCTCTTGCTTCCCCCCCTCCCCCTGTGTGGCGCAGTGCTGGCTGTGGGGAGAACCTTTTCCCATGAGGTCTCAGTAGCCCTGTTTTGCAGCTCCTAGCAGTTCTGATCAGCTGTTGACCCACGTGAAGTGTTGGGTGCTGAATTAAAACACTGGTAGGCCTGAGGGGAGCTATCTTGGGTGGATGGTAGACTTGACGCTGAGGGGCAGTCTGCCTGCAGTGTTCGCTGGAGAGGCCACAGGCATGGTCAGTAAATGAATATGCAGCCTTCCTTATGTGGAAAATGACCCATGACACCACCTGTTCAGAGAACAGGGCCATAGAACTTTCTTACTTTCCTCCTCCTAGCACTTCTCCTTGGGCAGCCTTAAGAGACAGGTGAACAGTTGGAGCAGCTGGCTTGACTAGTGCCAGCCAGAAGTACTGGACTTGGCTGCTCCTCTACAAAAGACAGCAGATGGGTGACTGCAAAACCAGAACACCAGCCAGCCTCCCTGAGTAGATCCTGAATCGGTGTGTCCCGTGCTTTGGTCTACACCGCGAGAAAGGAACAAACCCTGAACTTTAACAGTTAACTTGTGCCTTCCGAACAAAGGGTGGGTACAGCTACAAGAAACTCAGTTTCCATTTCTCGTAACTGCCCCTGCACGTGAGCACAAACTGTTTGAGGACACTGGGGCTATGTCTAC